ACCCATTTTACTGTGTGATATCTTCTTCGGAGACTAAACATCTACTTATAAAACACTTTCATATATTTTTATAAATTTTATTCACAATTGCATCTGCCACATTATACGAATTACATTGTATATAAAGTGTTAGACGTTTGTTGTATTTTATTAAGAAACACGTAAAGCAAAGTCCACATTCCTAACAAAATTAATAAGGAAAGTGTATCTTTAACGATATATTACATTTAATTTAATGTCAAACTGAATATAATAAAATGCAAATTAATTGATCTCATTGTAATTTACCAAATACAGAATTATAAATAATTTATAATATAAAATATCTTAAACATATTATTAAAAACAAAGAAAAGTGTAAAAAAGTGTAACGTTTTATTTAAAAAAAAAACACAAAAATATATAGCATGTTAGAATAATTATAACAATTTTTTTAGGGAAGCCAATCTTATTTGTAATGAAACTTTGGATATAGTTATGGGCAAAATGGAAATCGCACGTTTAATAGCACCTAAAATAGCATATCAATGGTTTAGTAACCTCCTCAGTTCAGATTGGTGGTCTTATTTTTGGTTACACGACGCTCTTGCTGCTATGTTGGGAGAAGAAGCTGTTGCTAAGGTTTTTATATTTATTAATATCGCGATATGAAAGATATATCTCTGTTACGAAAACCATTTTTATTATTTATATTTAACGCATTATTTCTAAACTGAATTATGATATTTGTTAAATGATTTTAATAATAAGGTACAAACTTGCACATATATATAGTGTGTAGTAGAACTCGTTAGCTCAAAATACGGACAAGTCGTTTACCTTAACGTTTATGCATACATATGAAACTTTGTTTTTAGAGCTTCAATAATTCTGAAATTTTGGATTTCTTCATAATTCAGAATCAATACGAATCTCTTCATCTGGATTCTCATTTTAATATGAATCCTGTGGATATCACTAGCTTATCGGACATTAATTCAATTTTCAGGTTTCCTCGTTATATGAAAGGTAAAAATAATTAAATAACCTTTTAGTAAAAATTTATATACGTACGTATATTATAAAAGAAAAGGCAGGAAAGATTAGTTGGAAAAAATTCAGTTACGATGTATTAATATATTTCTCATTATAGCAATAATTGTTTTACGGATGTTCCAAAGTGCTATTACCGATGAAGTGTTTCGAAATAATGTCCATGTATATGTAAGCAGACAGTGAGTGCAGATAATACAAAAATTATTTACATACCTGTACGGTATACATGTGTGTGTGGTTGCAATAAGTATATTTAACAACTCTTATAGACTATTAATGTTTTTAAAATTTTCATAATATTTGCAATATTTTATAATACCTTCGATTCGAATTCATACATTTTTTTTCCAATTTCATTTCTTTATGTCTTTTTAATTTTTTGTCCGTTTATATATTAACTTCATTTTACTTTCGAAAAATAAGCGGCAATATTTTTAAATCTTCAAGTCAGTCTTGGTTACTTCCATCTCTAATATGTGTATGACCTAAAATTGTGTCGTAGAGCTTTATGTGTATTTATAAGTTAAGTTATAACTCTCATTTTTATTTTCAATCAATTATGCTGATCATTAATAATAACTTTTTAAATTTAGGACGTTCAGTTCAATAATATCTTATAATTTTTGGTCCATGAAAGACGAATTAGATGAACCATATAACTGTAATTTACCATCGAATGAGTTCTTAACTTGGATCCAGTACAAACATTATCCTGTTGTAATGTGGGAACAATACAAGCATCGAGAAATTACAAAAACAATATCGCAAAGTTATAACAAAACTTATTACGGGGAGTGGCTGATACCCATAACTTTAAGGGAATTAACATTACTTTTTGACGATTTGAAGACATGTTTAAAACCAAATGTAAATTCTATCGTGTATCCCACAACTGTTCCTTTAAATGAACTTTGGATGGTGAACTTTCAGCAAGCTGGTAAATATACATAAAAAATTCTACACATTGTATGTAATTATGAAATTAATAAGCAATACTTCTGCAAATATTTCCACATTAAGGCGGATAGTCGATGTTCCGCTATATTAAGAAAAATATGCATGATGAGTGTTGTCATTGTATGAAACATAAAAATGCGTGTACCCAAAAACACAATATATATATTATAGATGCAGTAATTTTCAATATATTTCATCATACATACATGTATGAAGTCTCTTTAATGTAAAAAAGAAGATAAAATGAAGAATAGTATTTCTCTCAGTACCAATCTCATAAAATTTATAGTACAGTTCAATAAAATACATTTTTTTTAATGAATAGGGTACTATCGAGTTAAATACGATTCAAGAACCTTGGGCGACATCGTAAAATATTTAAATAACACAGCTGGAGATTATAAGATTATAAGTGTCATCAATCGTGCTAAATTTATTGATGATGCATTTCATTTGATGATTAATCGTCAGCTCGATGTATCTGCATTTTGGAACATCGCGAAACTCTTATCGCAGGAGACAAATTTTATTGTGTGGTATCCAATGATTAAAGTGTTTGAATATATGTCGATTACAATTCCACTTTCCAGAGAAGAAATTAAGTTCATCGATATTATGGTAATGTCCAATAGATGTCATATTTAACAAAGTCTATTAGGTATATCATAAAAAATTTCTAGTTGAAATCACGTTCATCAGAATTTTTTTTGTTAAATTCACTAGTATTCTAATTAAGATAATCGAAATTCTGGTTGGTACAATATATCTGATAAAATCTACTAGAATTACTATTTTTATCAGAATCATTACATTATTCATAACAATTACTTCTATCAATTATAATATCAAATAGATTTCTAGTAAATTTAACTAGAAAATAATAGTTCACCCATATTTCAATTTTCAAAATTATTTCGAACTGATTATTACATCAGAAAGAACGTAGAAAAAGTAATCCCTTTTTGAATTTATTACGATTAATTGTCAGTACTATCTATAATAATGAGCTTCATTACGATCAATGAAACTTGCGTCATTTAGGAGAAATTAAAAAAATTGTTGGAAAAACCTCTGAAAACACTAGGATATGAAGAACATTTGGTGGAAAATGACTTTGTTAAATGTTTAAGACAAGAAATTGTGAAATGGGCATGTATTTTCCAATTCGATGAGTGCGAACAATCAGCTTTTCGTAAATTAATGCAACATCTCGGAAATCCTGAAATAAATCCGTAACATTTTTCTATATTTGCAATATCTGCATAATTTCGTTTTCGCATTAAAATTATGACAAAATTTCGGTTCAAACATATAATTAACGATGATTTTTACATGTGTGACTTCATTATTTTTTTTTTAATCTGTAGTCTTTTACCATGGTGGAAGCACTGGACATATTGCAATGGTTTTGCAGTAGCTTATTCGTATACGTGGTCACACATAAGAGATACATGGTTAAAAGAACGTAATCATACGTTGCTACCCTTCTTGACTTGTTTTAGGAATGCTACTGCAAATACTACTTCTTCATTATTATCGGAGCGTTTCCAAGAGGAAGGGCAACAAGACATTACAAATATTCGTTCGTACATAGACATTTTTCATTCAGTTATTATAAAATATTCTAACACACATGACATACTCGAGATGATACTTAGAAAGCTCGAGATTATGAAACCTGAGTAAGTACATGTTTTATAAATTTACACTTTATTTAACAATAATATATTATATAATAAAACATATATCTGTACGAATTGATTTTATATAGACAAATCAACTTGTTAACAGCGCTGGTTGGTATCATTAACCATGTATATTCTTCCAAATATCTTATGAAGGTAAATAAAATCAATTCAAATTCTCTATACACTTATTAGTTTTCTTTTAGTCAGGTTTCATAACTGTAAGATTAAATTTAATTTCAGTTTTTTACACTTTATCTTTTTCTAATTTTTTAATAACAAAAAGAGCAAACTGAATTGAGAAAAAAGTTTTTTTTATTTATATAACCGCGTTTAAAATTTATGTTAATAACTGACGCATGATATATGCAATATGCCATGTATGTCTCTGACTGCTCTTTCATTTTATGAAAAATGACAATTTATTGCATGCAATATTGTCTATATGGAACGATAATAAATTATTAAACAAATGTAATTACATTTTAAATCATTTTGTGTTTTAGATTCAAGATGATTATTTAAATTTACTTCTCTTTAGAGGTTACATAAATAGATCACAACTTTCGATAATTGAACGTAAGATATCCATCCGATTGTCAGAAATTGTCGCACATACAGGACATTTTCGATTTATATACCGTCTTTAATCTAATTTAAATAACCACGTAATATATATAAGTTTTCTTTTATATTAGCTCGAATCAGTGGGAAATTTCGTAAGCTGATTTTACTTTTGCTGAATATATAGTGTTAATTTTGAATATTTTGTAATATTAATTTTGCATATATTTAGCCTTACACAAATGTTATAATATTGGTTTCATTAAATTTTTACTTACGCCTGTATTTTCCGTATGTTTAGTCTTGCTTCATTTGCACATTATCGATTATTTTTCATTATTATAATACTATCGTACCTGTATTATTTAGCATATCATATAATATTATTATTCGTGTATAGCGCAAAATAATTAATAAATACATCTTAATTATAATGAACTATTACAGTTATTTTATTATCCATGATTCTTACAAATGTTCTCAGAATAAACTTTTAATACTTGTTAATATGGACAGTGCCCAATTTGATATATTCAATTTACAAAAATTACTGTTCCCTGTATATTATAACTTTTGTATTTCGTGTTTATTTTCATTATGTTACATATCGTAATATATTATTATTATTTTTACTATAATTTATAATAAAAATATTAATAACATAGTACGATACGTAACACAATGTCAACTTATTGTTAGTACTTCATATCTATAAAGAAAATGGGCGGAATAAAAGCCTAGTTATAAAACTTGATTTTAATACAAATTAAAATAACTTGCTACGTTTGTATTATACACAAATGAATACAATATTAAAGGAATTTATATAATGTCTATAAGGAGTTACATATTACAATATTTCTTTATTACGATCAATATTACATAAAAAATCTACTTGCCGGATAAAGGGTCTAAGTAGAATTGCGTCTTTCCCCGGTACATATTTCATGCATTTTTTGTGAAGTTACTAAACTGTTATACCAACTTCTGTCTAGTAACTGAGAAGGAAAACTACTTAGGATTCCAATCGGGATATAACGCTTTGTTTGCAGTTACTGTATACAAAAGCTGCCTAAAGATGAATCCCTTTATTAAACAGAAACACGACAAATAACGGATAAATTAATTAAATTGATTAACAAGCAAGCCAACTGCTTATTAAATGGACAAAATGAAACACTATCAAGTTCTTATCCATTTCCTACTCAGTATTGGTACAACTAATGAGAATACAGTAATATTACACAGTAACTGGAAAGGGTTCGGGGGAAAACTGTTTACAATTGTATCAGAGTTTATTCCGCGACCATCTCCTCAATTATATTATTAAAAAACATAATTTTTAGAATTCAAATCTCTCAATTTATAATGACTACTAACATATGGCTGTACTAATACGACTACAGCATGTAGCATGTAATTTATTTACATAATAAAGCATATATTATAAACATATAAATGTTAAATAATTTAAACTTACACGTAAGTATATCTTAAATTGGCTCAAATAGTTAAAAATGCGAAAAATTTTCCTAAACTGTCACTGTGCATTAGAAGTATGTCAATAGTTCGATAGCAGAAAAAATCAAACATTCGCATAAACTGGTCAACGATGTCCACCTATATTAAATTTGTATTATATCGAAAAGAGAATCGATTAAAATTTCGTCAACTCATATCGCATGTTCACGTTAAATGAAACGGTTTTGTATTTACAATGTAATCCGTTGTCGATGACATTAGTCTGTTGAGACATCTCGGAAGAATAACATCGCAATCAGAGACATTCTATTATGATCTACATTTCCTTTACAGTTATTTTTATCGTATGAATATCAATTAGGAGTCTGAATTATACTCTAACAGCACAATTTAATTATACAGGGTAAGTATCTAAAAATATGATACATTAATTATTTGCAGAGGGCATGCTGCATAATTTTTTAAATATTGACATTGTGGCAATTCTATTTGACTTTAAACTAAACGTTACTTACGTAAGCATATGTCCGTACCTTAATAATGTACTATTAAATGAAATTTTTAGTAAACATTTATATGATAATCATAAGATTTCTTATTAATTAACAGAAAAATAAACGTTTTGTATTCACAAACGTTTTAACTGAAAAACATTTATTAAAATAAATAATATAAATTTTTTTAGAAAATAACGTTGCTATATCAATATCTTTAACGTAATCGCAACAGTGCTAAAAATATTACTGAATTAAAAATTGTTTAATGTTATTCTTAATAGTAGATATAATCGTATCTGTACGTTTACAATTACAAAACGAATTTAATAACGCCTCTCTCTCTCTCTCTCTCTCTCTCTAACATCATGTACAATAACAATGCGCATTATTATCATTAGAACTATATTATTTCTTTAAACTTTCCGACAGATATATATATTTAAAACGACAATTGAGGCAACATGAATTTAGCACAGATAAGTAATAGCGTAATACTTATTCTGACAATAGCTGTTCTTAATAGTGAAGAACAAAACAATTTCAACATTACGAATTACGTACGTTTTCCTCATTACGTGTTACCAGTGCACTACTGCATACAGCTCGACTACCTAATTTATAAACACATTGATGATAATCTTGGTAATATTTGGAAAGAGATAGTTGGTTCGAAAAATGAATATGACTCATTTCTCTTTCGCGGTAAAACTAGTACAACCATTAATATCCTACAGTCGACTCACCATATAAGTTTGAATCAAATAAATCTGACATTAATTATTGCGAATATAACTTTGTCTACAAAGAACGCCATAATTTACGTATTGGATAAATACAAATACACCAAAAAAACGAACGTATTAGGATTTCTTTTAGACTATATGTTACTTCCCGGACTCTACACATTCAAAATACAATTTTTTGGTCATCTAATAGAAGACAGTTTCTTTAAAAATGTTTCCAAAGAAAATACCGTAACGTGAGTAAATTATAAATACTTAAAAAAATATACGTATACATGATGTGATTTATAATTATTTCTTATTTTTGTTCAAAATGTAATTCGTACCAATTTTTAATGGTACAGTTTGAATTCAATCAAATTATAAAGATTCATGATTTTATTTAAAATATAATAATTATGAAATTGTAATAGATTGTTGATAGCTCCATACATTCAAGAGCGGAATGGAATGAGACAGTTATTTCCTTGTTGGGACCAACCGCAATTAAAGGCCACATTTAACATTTCGATAAAACATCCTCGCTATTATTCAGCTTTATCAAATATGCCGACAAAGTTCATGACCTATGATAGTTGTACAGATTCATTACGCACATACTTCCATAATACGCCTCCAATGACCACTTTGCAAATTGGACTAGTCATGACTGAGTATCAATCCATTAGAGTTAATAAAAACATTACTTTGTGGTGCGATTGTGATTCAGAAGAACGTCGTCAGAAATTTGAGTTTGCACGGAGAATCATGAACAATATTACATTGCAGTTAAAATCTGAATTTGGTGGGATAAATATTCCAAAAATGGATCACATTGCGATTCCAAATTTTCCACAAGACGGCATATCGAAATGGGGGCTCATATTTCATTCGTAATGCATACATTTCAATATAAAATATGTTAAACGAAAAAATAATTTGCATCTATTCAAACATTTTAAGAAGTTTAAAATTTAATAAATTAGATATTTAATAACTATCATTAACATATACAAGGTGATTCGTATAGAATTTATATTTTAAAATAAATATCGAATAATTTGTAATTGTATTTCTTTTCTAAAATAAATTGTGTTTTTTTCATCAACTGTGCCTAAAAATACCAGAATATTATTATAAGGATATTATCAGTTGCGAGATTTTTCACATTTTTGCAAAATACGCTAGAATAGAAAGTATTAAATATTTCGTATGATATATTGATAATTTAATAATTCTTATTAAATATCTCACACAAAGTATAAAAAAGTTCACGTACAAATAACTATAAAAGAATCTATATGATTAAAAATATATACAGAATATTTAAAAAATAGAAGCAATTAAAAAACGTCTTTACGCTTCCTTAAGTAACCTTGTTAATTATACCGAATCGGAAACCCTTTCCTTATGACCATGATGACAC